CTGAGCCATGGCGCCACCAGTGAGAGGCCCACTCCCCAGCATGGAGGTGCCTTAAGTATTGGTCTAGGAACTTATGGGAAGAAGTGTTTCAGCAGATACTGGAGCACTAATCCGTGTAGAGAATTAAAAATTAGTCCCAATAATTTACATTAGGATAGGAAAAATTATAAAACAATTACAATTATGCACACTGGTCTAAAATAGTCAAATATTAATTTCCATTCAGAATTCTGGCTGCCTTAGTTTCTGTTGAGGTTTCTATGCTGTCTTTTTCTGGGACGTGTCATCTTCCTCAGAAGAGGAACAACATGGGGAATCTGGCATTTAGGAACCAACCTACTTTCAGCACTGAAAAACCTGATGCAGATCATACTACTCCCAGCTCTAATACAGAGGATTTAGACTCAGGGATGTTTGCAGGGTGTGGTCAAAAAAGTCAAAGTGGCAGCCACAAGAGTGTGACTGAAGCGTTACCTTTTCTGCACATGTGTTGCATAAAACAGGAAGAGTTTTGATCACACTATTGTGGCTGCCATCTTGACTTTTTTTTTACAACTTGAGACAATTCCTTTCAGTCTCCATATATGCATCCACAGCTAGCTCTGATGATGGAGAAATGATGACTCATGCACAATGATATTGCAATGCTTACTGCACCGTTACATAACTGCATCCTAATGGCAGACGCAAGTACATTTGATGTGGGGTTTGTATCATGACATCATCATGCACATTTCATTACTTGCCCTCTTGCTTTCTGAGACCACCTATGTCCTCTGAAAATTCTGGGGCAACAGCTAGCAACCCCAAATTTAGCCAAGCAACAATGTAGCTGTCAATAGGGGATGGTTTTAGATGAAAGCTGATTCTTGTCAGGATTGGATCCTAGCAAAATCAAAGCTGCTTTGCTTCTGTTGCTTCTGGATAGGGAAGTCAGAAGACTTGGACTTTAAAGGCTGCTTCAGAATTTAGATTTCATGATGGAACAGTTTTGGTGAGAACCTTATTTTGGAGCTGTGAGTTTTCTGTCTATATGTTTCCTTGATTTTTGGATTGTATCTGACATTTGCTTCAATCTCACCCCCTGAACCTGATATTGGCCGATGTGGTGGATTGCAGTAGAGAGCAAGATTCTCAGGAAGGAGAGGATGCATTCCAGGAAGGGCAGAGAGACAACACAAGCCGGAGCAGGAGCATGGGAAGTGTAAGAGGGTTGGAATAGCCACTCCCTAGAATCTCCCAGGGTGTATCCACTAGTTGCAGTAGTACAGATTTAGTCTGGCAAGATTCTGTCTATATAGTTTAAGCAATTAAATAACTGAATTTGGATGAACTGTTTTCCTGTTGTTCTTGGATTGGGTCTGACAGCCATGGACTGCTTGCTGGAACCCTGGATACAATGATTGCCTGCCCCCTGTATCTTTGAAGAAAGACTCCAGTCTGATTCATGGTTTTATGAACAAATATGGGATAGTTGACTAGCAAACTGCCAATTACTCTGTTTATTCTGTGTCAGAACCTCATCAGTGTGTGAAAATCCATTTATAATGCACTGTAGTAATCTAAATGAGAAGTTATTGGGGTATGGATTACTACAGTGATGTTCTCACTATCCAAGTAGTTGGCATAGAAGACTAAGATGGCCAAAAATGTTTTTAGCCTGGGTCTTCTGACCTTATTCCACCCCCACAAAATGGACAATAAATACAAAATTGCAGATTAAGTATGGTTCTGGTTGTAGCTTCTGGTTATGTAAGCCCTGGTTTATGTACAGTGGTACCTCGAGATACGAATGCCTCTACTAACGAACTTTTCGGGTTATGACCAGCTCCGGCCGCAAAAATTTACCTCGATGTTTTTAGCCTGGGTCTTCTGACCTTATTCCACCCCCACAAAATGGACAATAAATACAAAATTGCAGATTAAGTATGGTTCTGGTTGTAGCTTCTGGTTATGTAAGCCCTGGTTTATGTACAGTGGTACCTCGAGATACGAATGCCTCTACTAACGAACTTTTCGGGTTATGACCAGCTCCGGCCGCAAAAATTTACCTCGATGTGCGAACTTCGCCTCGGGGTACGGCCATTTTTCTGCCCTGACACGTGGTCCGCGGCCATTTTTCCGCCCCTGACATGTGGTCCGTGGCCATTTTCCCACTGCGCGGCGCCTGGCCATTCTCCTGCCGCATGGTGCGGCGCCCGGCCTTTTTCCCGCCGCGCTGCACAGCGCCCAGCCATTCTCCCGCCAGAACGGATTAACGGTAATTACATTGAACATTATGGGAAAATTTGCTTCGGGGTGCGACCAAATTCGGAGGGCGGAACGGATTAACCGGATTTACATTGAACCCTATGGGGAAATTTGCGTAGGGTTACGACCAACTTGGGATACGCCCAGAGTCACGGAATCGATTAAGTTCGTATCCTGAGGTACCACTGTAATTCCAACATTATGCAAGGGCTACAAAAAGGATGGCTATCTTTGACCCATGTGTACAGCATGTAATTTAACATGCATGAGAATTATTTTACATAAAGGTTCCTGGAATGGCTGTGGAGAAGACTTCCTGTGGACTGCCTAACACACACACACACACACACACACACACACTTTGATTTATATTTTCATTTGCAAATTTATAAATCACTTATTTTTAAATGGCTGTTTAACTGAAATACCTGTATGATGGTTAATCACTATACCAATAGCCTGTTACAGTATTTCTGCATATATTAAAGTACTTATATGGGCAACCTAAATTCTCCATAGCTTTTGTCATAGCACATACAACAAACATAATAGGGGAACATTTATAAATGCACACAAGAACAGCTTCCTTGATATGTTGGGAATTTTGCTTTTCTAGAGTCTCTAATGCATAAGAAGCATAATCCAAATGTACAGTTGTAGGTTCTTTCTTGGATTCCGCAAATAACAGACACTGTGTAGTCTATTGTTACAATAATGTACAGTGCAGACCGATATGCCATCAGAAGTGTTTCCCATGGACAAGAGCTGCTATCTTTTTAGAAGTATTTCTAATTTCAGTCAGTTCCACTCCCAGCATTCTCTCCAAGACATACCTCTTTATCTAAGCCTTGCCCACGTCCCACCCCAATGGGCCTACATCGAACATATGCTCTTTTGCTGAAGGAAAAAAAAAAAAGGATATCTCTCATCACTACCTAACACCTCCAGCAACGCTCAGAAGTGGTTGTGTTGAAGTGCTCACTTGGCATTCCTACACTGCTCTCATCCATTTTGGAAATGCTGTTACAGACAAATGAGTGTACCTTTCTTCCATATGGACATATCTGAAGAAAAATGTAAGTCAAGTCTCATTTTTATTTATTTTTTTCTGAGCTTGACTTCATGAACATGTCCATTAGTTTTCTTGGCAAGAAGAGGGAAATATCTTTTCAAAAAATCTAAAGGGTGTTCTTCCTGTATTGTAACTTCTTGTGGTAATTTTTATAACACCAGATCATCCAAATTCCCACTGGAAATATTTCAATTACATTGAAGCAGTTGGTACATAGCTTTTTGGTTTTTGTTGAACTTCTTTTGTAAGGATGCCACATGCTCTTTAAGGACTGTTATCCTAGAGGTAATGATACTGTCTGAATTTATTTTCAAGATCTACAGATCTACTGCATTCCTCAACTTGTAACCTAAAATACTTTGGTCTGCAATGTACAAATCACAATGGAGAATTTCTGCTGCAGAGATTACTAGTTGCAGCAAACTGGGAAGCTTTTCAGCAACATGCACAAAGATCCACCAAAGACTCAGCTGAAAGCATTCAACTCAATTTCTTCCTTTGACCCAAACCACTTTGGAAAATCATGTTTCCAGATGTGAAAGGCTCAGCACATTAACCTTGCTGCAAACCCCCAACCTTCTGCCATCTGCTTTTACAGCAGAGGCATTTTAACAGAACTGCTGTAGACATATGAGAAACTAAAATGCAATACAACAGACAAGATCATATTCCATATCAAAAGTCTTTCATTTTGCTGCATCAACTGAACCTTTCAAGAAAACATCAGGTAGGAAATAAGGTGGAATTATACTATACACATTGAATCTCTTCTTGCCAGAACACAGGAATTACACCATGAGTAACATGCAAGAGATTCTAGCCTTCATTTTGGCTTCCTGATTAATATCACTAATTGCAATTAATTGTGGCAATCAATCTGAAATGGAAATTTTGAATCTCCATGTGACTACATTCCACAGAGAAAGGCAAAGGGAGACTGTACAAACCCAGAGAAAAACTGTTTTATTCTCATAATGCTAAATCATAGTCTAGCCATTTTAGGAACTTGGGACTCTGAATTTCTTAACCCTGAAAGAATTCATCCCAACTGATACAAAGAATATATAATGTCTATCCTCCATTCTCCAGAACTCCTACTACAATAAAAAAGAAAAACTGCTGTATCTGATTAGTGAGACTGAGTTATATCTGGTAATACAGCCAAAGCAAAAACTATACCCAGCACAGACCAGATATGCGGTGGACTTCATTATGTATGCAGTAATTACATTTCAACCACAAATTTGTGAAGACTTATACCAGTTTGAGGCAGTATTTGCTCTTAAGATTTGTGACATTAATCTCACCTCAGCTCTGCTGTAGGTATGTTTGCATTGATATATGACTATAAATCATTTTCATTTCATGAGTAGGATCTGCTTTACATGATATCTACTACTATGCCATCAATTACAAGTGAAAGTAAAGAGCATGAATTTTGTTTGGTACAAGCATCAGGATATTTGAGTTAAGGAGTTGTAGGACACCAGTAATTCAAGTCCCTAGTCTACCATATTCTTCACGGATGAACAAACAGATGCAGAACTTGTTCACCCAATTACTCCACTCCTTTTTGCCAAGTGACAACATATCACAATAGCAACAGCCCAAAAGGTACCTATAAAGTCCATCTTGGATAGAGGTAGAAGTACAGCTTGAGGCATCCATTCTGTCTTACCTCATAGAGGGTAATTATTCCATTGGTTTCATTTGGTGGCTTCCACTGAACATATATCTTCTCTTCAAAGGGTCCTCCCTGAATTGATTCAAGGGGAACAGTTCCAGGAACTAAGAAGAAAATGAAAACTTTGTAAATCATAATGTTTCATTTTTTCCCCTACAACCTAACATCACATTACATCACAATCAATGTTTACTCTAATTTCTGACATGCTGTGTACTGAGTTAGATTATTTTCCTTGCAATTCTAACAGGAATTTTAAGAGGAATAGGAAATGTGGAGTCATGGGGTAATTGATCTTGGTTTTATGAATAAGATATTTATTATATTGCTACTATTGTTATACCACAAATCTTGAAATGACCAATTGCTTTTATGTCCATGAAAGTAAAATTGCTTTGGGTGAAAACAAAATTTCAGATCAGCTACAGCTGCAGTACTTTGGTTTTGCTTGTGTTCCATTAACTAGGCTACTGACTTCAGTAAAGGGATATGTTTAAACAACATATAGATCATTAATTCCTTTCCTTCTCTTGAACTGTTAGCCTCCTGGGAGTCTGAACTATTAGCCTCCTTAGAGTGTGGTAGAATAGATTTATCACTTCAGCTAATAGCAGTAAGGAATAATTTGTTCCATTCAGGACAATGTCCTGGTTAGCACATTGTCTATTAATTTGAGATTAAAAAAAAAAAAAACACACAGTAAATCATTAACTTTGATGTGCCCTTGAACATAAATTAATTAATTCTTAAACATGCTTTAAAAACATGGGCTACAGTTAACTGAAACTCAGCTGTAACATTTTGACTCATATTTGGAGAAGACAACCAAAATCTCCCCACACATATAGTTATTGATTTTGCTAAGATGTAATCAGAACTAATTCTCCAAAAAGCAAAATGGGAAGCTTCATCATTTTTAGTATTAGCTATAATTTTAGCCTGCAACAATTTTCAGAGATTTATTTTCCCAATATTAAATTGTACTCTATTTTTGGAATGAGCTGTGAAACATATTGGTTGAGTTTTTATCTACCAGTACAATCTGACTTCAAGCCTTATTTAATTCTCTTTTCCCCCCAAACAATTTAAATAGTGACAACTTATTTCTTACCATCCTCTTCAGTTTGCACAACCAATTCTTCACTCTCCATCTTGCCCTCTGGATTTGAAAGAGCCAACCTCAATCGGATGGTCATGAAGGGTCGCAATCCTCGCAACGTGTAATGTGATGATGTCTGAATTAGTTCCTCTGCTTCATATTTCTGCTGGTTGAATATATACTGGTAATGAACTGTCAAGTTATAGCTGTGGCAACGAGTCACAACATAACCAAAGGGTTCCCATTGCAAAGTCAACTGCCGTGATCGGATGTCTACAACCTCTACGTTCTGGGGACCATGGACTGGATCTGTGGAGCAAAAATACATGTTGCTTTAGTTAATGATAAATGAAACTCAAAGCAGCTGCTGGATTTGCGTGTAGAGACTGTGGACGGAGAAACCTGCAAGCTTCAGCTGGTACATCTACCTGGAACAAGTGGCTTTGATGATGGCAATTCACACCTTTAACACCTCAAAGCTATAACACTGCAAAGTGCTTTACACATGACTGTTTTTGAAGACTGCTAGAAAACTGCATTTGATATAGAATATGAGAGTCCATTTGCTGGTATTCAAGAGCCATTACATAGTAGCAGGCACTGATTTTTGAGTACAATTCAAAATGCCAGTTTTTAAGCTCTTCATGCTTTGGATCCCAGGTATTTTCTATTTCAAAGAGAACTTTATTCCGTTCTAATTGTGGGAAGGGATAATTAGGGTCTTAGAGGTTGAGGAAGTTAGAGGCAGGAATAGCCGCCCCCCCAACCCCAAGGTTTGGCTGGTGCCCATTTTGACGACTTTTTGAAAGACCATGAAAATGGTGTTGTTCTGCAAAGCATTTGATATTTAATTTGTCGCAGTTGGAACTGAGTGTCAGTGGAGGTTACTAATTGTCTTATTTATGTTTGTGATTGTAAACCAAAGCAGCTAATTAGCAAAACAAATGCATACATTTATTTATTTATATGATTTATATAGCCACTCATCTCACACAAGTGACTCTGAGAGGCTTGCAAGATTAAAACAATGCATTTCTTATGTGTAAAGCACTAGTAGTCATGTCTGGAATATAACATTTTTAAAATAAACAAATATTTGCATTTTGAACGGATTGTATGCAACTGTTGTGTAAAATTCAAGCAAATAATTTCATGTCCTGATCTGTATGTTCCTTCCCTGAGGGAACTAAGGGAAAGGTACCACCACAACACACTAGGAGTGACCTGAAAAGAAAGTCATTAAGCCACACCCCTTGGTGGACTACATCTCACATATAAAAACAAAGCCAGCATCCACAGTCCTTCCCCCATGCAAAGCTGTTTATGGAACAAACTTCTGCACAAGGAAAATAAATTCATTAATTGGTAGACTTTGGCTTTATGCTGTTTGTTGCTATTTCTATTTACACAGAAACTCATTTTTCCCCAAAGATCCATTCTTACCAAAGAATCAACATTACCAAATAGCCAAATTACCAATCTCCCACATTCAGAATCTTTCACCACCTTTGCATCCTTGCACTAAAAATTATGCTTCTTCGTTCACTCCTTTTCCTTTTTTAAGGAATGTGGTTTTGCTTACACCAGGTATTCAAAATAAAGAGATATTCTAATCAAATGCTTAGTATTCACTATTTCCATTCATGCTTGGAGCTCCAAATGACCTAATCACTTTTTTTAAAAAAAAAATTCTTATGTCTCATTTCTACCCATCCATCCATGCCATCTAACAGATTGAATTTCCCCAGATCATATTAATTATTGAACATCAGCACTTCAACTATCACTAACTTATAGATTAATATACATCCCCAGCAACCTAAGATCATACCAATTCATATTTTCTGACATGCATTTCACCTCTTTCGTTCACAATTCACCGCCCAGAGTCACTTGGTTGAGATGGGCGGCTATAAAATAAATAAAATAAAATAAATAATTAAACCAACACTTTTATTTCCCTGTAGGTATTCATCAATTCCATTCCGCAAGATTAGACCACCTTCATTCTAATCTGTTACATCTTTTCCCTTTCTCCTTATTTTGCACAACATAGCTACATTTCTTTCACTTCATCCATTAATTCATGTCTTTACCATTTACATTCCATACATCACTGCTGCAAACAGATAAACCCATCCCAGCACTAGTCAATCAAAGTGTTCACATAACATTTTTTTTTAGTAAGACAGAAAAAAATGTGGCCTAGATTAGCAATCTTAGTTTCACCCATGCCACATACAGTGTTCCCCTCTAATGGTCAGGACAGTTCAGGTCAGTTTTGGCACAGCTTGTCTGGTGTGCCAGAAGTGCAAACATAACCCAGTTTTACCCCAAGCATCTCTAAGTCAGCAACCATCTTAAAAGCCAACATACTGTTACTGGCATCCCATCAAGGAGGAGGTACATGCAGTGTGCTGATATACGTTCAGGAAGCAGAACAAAATCTATTTTGTTACTTTGCTCATAAATAAGGAATAGACAAACAACTGCTGCACTGTTTCTATCTACAGAATTGATGTTTTTTTCTTAAAAAAACTGTATAGTCACATTTATTTTAAATGTGTTATTTTCTAAACAAAAGAATGATTCAACAGTCTAAACATGTAAAATTAGTATTTCCCACATGGATGGGAAAACTCTGTTGGTGTGTCCATTTAAAGAAATATGGATGTTACTCTTGATTTTAAGATATATAGCAAAGACCCTTAAAGTTTCATTCTGACTAGATTTGCATCTTGCATTAGTCTGTGGCTTGCCAGACCACAGTTTACTGAATAAACCATAACTGTTTTCTTATACATGCTATGCCATAAATGAAAGTTTACACTCCATAACCCTAGCTTTACAAAATGCATTATGCCCAAATCAAACCAATTTTGTGGGGGAGATGGGTGGGGGAGAAATCCACTGACTAACTAATTAACTAACTAACTAACTAACTAACTAACAGAACTGGTACCAAATTACCAGATATCAGTAATCAAAGTGTAAAACGAGGGCTAGAAATTGATTTCTTATTCTGTGCTAACCAGAAATTGTGACTATTCCAAGTTCGTTTGCCATATGTGCTATAGATAGCCTTAAACTTTAGAGTCATATAGGACTCTAGCTAGAGTCCTTGCTAGAGAAAATAGCAGTGCATTAACCAGGTAGAGCAGCTTAGTATCTTTTCTAAGCTTGTTATGTGGTTGTTAGATGGCCTTCATCCAGTGTAGCACATGTTTTGAAAATCTGTCACCTGCAATGAATCATCCTTCATCACTGAAACTGGTTTAGCCACGCACCCAAGCCTTAAGAATTAAGAATCCTGATCTGTTTGAAATAAGGCTCAACATTTTCAACGTTTCATTCTGAGTATCTGTTCAAATGTAACTAAAGAATATTAAATCCACATGCTTCGGTTAAACTAGTGTAGTTTTCTCATGCAGAGATGAGATAGCTTTTCCAACCCGATGATTCCCATAATACTGCAGAAAGCACAAATGCGTAAGCATGTAAAGCAATTAATCAATGAGGGATTCTTAGCATGAAATTTCTGGAAATAAAAGAAAAGGGTGAGTGCAAAGGTCAATCTTTTTCTCCCAGCTGACATAAGTTACTTCCTATCTCATCATTTTATTTATTGCTGATGTTACATGGATTTACAGAGTATGAACAATTAATATTTTGGCAAGTATTAGGAAATTAAAAGTATATATTTTTTTGTATAAGAATAACATCTTGGAGAATGAAAAACAGGGACAGAAAACCTATTTCACCCCTCAATGTGATAGCCCAGGGGGACAGTTTAGTCTATGTCATTCTCTTCTGGAACAGGATTCAACAACTCTGGCTAGGTTATCTGGATAAAATATGCTTGGTACCATGGCATTTCTAATGTATAACTGAGTAGGCCCACCAGGAACTCATCAAATGTGTGCTGATGATTTTTTTTGCTTCCAGATACTGTGGCAATGACCCTTGTAGACGGGGAGCTGACTAGTGAGTAACAGAAAGCAAACTCTGGACTCTCCAAAGATGTAGAGAATCTACTGAAGTTTCTTCTCCCCAGTCCCTTGAGCATTTAGGGACAGAGGCTGAAAACAAAAGGAAACTTTTTAGAGCCTCAGCAGTCCAAATCTAGAACTCAAAGTAACATTCAAAATAAAATATCTAATCAAGGAAATGAACTCTTCTGGTAGTGGCAGTTTGAGCCTTCTTCTTCTGTTCTCACATCAACAGTCTCAATAAGCCTTCCAGCCTCAGCTGTGAGCATATAAGAGTCCATTTGTGTGAGATGGGCGGCTGTATAAATGTGATAGATAGATAAACAAACAAACTCCCTACTGATGGAGTCTCTGGCCCCTTTCCTTCCCTCTGGGGAAGGCTTTCCAGCTTGAGGAACCAGCTCCCTTCTCTGGCTGGACAATGAGTTACATCAAGGCCAGGCAGTATAGAAAGGTGAGGGAGTCTGTTTATACAGGCCTGATAAGGGTAATCCAGCAGGTGCTTTCTCTGCAGGCTTTGCTTTGTTGTCCACTGCATTCGCCTCTCCCTCAACCTTCTTCTCTAACTCTCATACTTCTCTTTTACTGGAGCAGCCTTTATGCTCAGCAGGCACAGAGTCTGTAAACACACTTATTCTGTTGCTGTGATTTACTCAAAAGGAGGCTGGTGTTTTTCTTTCATCACAGATACCACAATATATTTATTGTACAAACCTGAGCTATGGCATAAAGTAAAAACTCCCAACTCCCTCAGTTCATGCTTGACTCTTGGTGACTACATGGATACATGTAATTTTTTGGCAGTAATGCAGAAGTTTGCCATTGCCTTCTTCTGGACTTTTGGTTTTTTGTTTTTTACTTCCTTGTGTAACCTGCAGATTTTCTGATGGTCTCCTATTTCAAGTACTAAGTAGGTCCAATCCTACTTTGCTTCCAGGATTAGTCAAGATCTGGTAGGTGTTGTCATGCGCAGTACGAGTTACCCATTGCTTAGTCTGATATTCATTTAATTGACTTATGTATCACTGTAATCGTAGTTGACTCTGGGTCTCTTACTAAGAATCTGTATTAAGGTTAAAAAATATACAACAATATCTATAACAACAAAATTCCTCAACACTGAGGAATAACTCATGCATATATACATTCACCTTCCTGTACAAAACAAGGACAGCCTAGAGTAAATCAAATTAACCAAACTATAACCAAATCAAGATGGAATCAAAGCTTGGCCAAATCTCTTCAGAAATAACTCTGTTTTGACCAGTTTCTGGAAGACAAGGGTGAGAGCCAACCCTATGTCCACTGAGAAGCCATTCC